AGGTCATCAAGTAAATCTTCTTTGTCAGACAGTACACACCAAATAACAAAAAGTTCCATTTTTCTCGAAATTATCTTCTACGGGATCTCAACTAGATCAGAAGTCTTCAATTGTATCATCTGTGTCAGGCAGTACACAGATAACAAAAAGTACGTTACTCTCGACATTGTCTACTTCCGTGTCTTCAAGCGGATCGAAGTCCTCAGTTGGACCGTCAGTGTCAGGCAGTACGCATGAGATAACAAAAGATACAGTTTTCTCGACCTTGTTTACTTCGGGGTCATCAACTGGATTTAAGTCCTCAACAGGATCATCAGTGTCAGATAGTAGTCATGCAATTACAAAGAATACACTTTTCTCGTCATTATCTACAGTGTCTTTTATAAGTAACTCAACCAAACATGGGGCAAACAGTGGAGTGAACAAAATTTCAGACCCAACTACTTCTAAGGTCACAGTTGACCCGGTGACCTCTCAGGATACGGTTCTTTAGCACGGAACATTGTCGCCAACACGTCTCAGGTTACGGTTATCCCGACTTTTTTTGCAAATTTAACACAATGCACATCAAACGTTTGTTTAGCTGCAAGTAAAACATTAGAAAGGGTAGACTTTGGATGGATCCGTGCGAAAAATTTTACAAGTTTGCGTGTGGCAATTGATAAGAAAACAAAAATCCAGGATACATAAGGGCGAGCAAAATGTTCCGGAATCATTACAAGCAGAACTAAGACATGATCTTCTTTTGGATATAAAAGGTGTTTTTATCATTACTTAACGCTTTAATTCAAATTATAAAGATGGTAAAAAGTAAATAATATACGAGTGAAAAACTGCAAATGCGTTTCTGTTATAACTGTCGTACATATGTGTACCTCTATAAATATTTAACCTGATAAAAGCTATGCTATATCACAAAATTGAGCCGCGTCACGACATAACCAACATTATAGGTTTGCGACAGCATGGATCCAGACCAGCCTGCGCATCCGCGCAATCTGATCAGGATCCATGCTGTTCGCTATCAGTTTTCTCTACTTGTTATAGAGTATGTAAGCAACAAGCATGGATCCTGAATCAGACTGCACGGATGCGCAGGCTGGTTTGGGAATCCATGCTGGTCCGCAAACCCATAACGTTGGTTTGTCATGGCGCGGCTCAAATGATTCACAATTAAGACCATGCAAACAACAGCTATTATCCTACAAAAATTAAATTATAAGTAAATATTTTATCTTTGAGGGAAAAGCCAAAACAATTACTAGTCATTTTAGTATTGAAATACTTATCAAGGGTAATACACGTAAATGCGTAAGAAATTCATTATTCTTTTTCAACGTAGTTAAAAAAAAAGTTAAATTTCTCCATAATTTAATCTAAAAACTAAGAAAATATTGACTAACTGTATTTTCAGATTTAATTACAGCGCGTCCTTACAGAGATGATGAAAGTTTCTCAGCCAAGCTTTCGAGGCGACTGTATCAGTCATGCCAAGAATCTAATAGCCAAATTGATTTGGAAAGTGATGGTAAATACTTCTTTATTGCATGTTTTAACATTTATTACTTTATTACATGTACTACTTTGTTTACATTTTACTACTGTTATAACAAATAATTTCACATTCAGTGTTACTTTCATCAGGTGATATAGAGGATATTTGTTTGTTTATGTGTAAGATGAAATTTTATTTCATCGAGAGGGCTTTAAAAACAGTATTCTCACGAGTGGCGTAGCCACAAGTAGAGAATACTGTTTTAAAGTTTTTTTTTTTTTTTTTTTCAGGCCCCGAAGGTGACCCCATTTATTGCCTCCGTCGCATGACTATTTTAAGGGTCGGAGGTCCATCCCTTAACAGTCTTACAATAATGTGTTAAAACATGAAAAGTTAAACATAGCATTTGCATAAAGTAATTTTACGGCAAAACTGATTTTTTTTAAAAATTGAATATGTAAAGGAGGTTATAAGTTCAAGATATAGAAAAATTATTACTAAATCTACATTATGCCTTAAACAGAAACATAATTACTTTTTTCTACTATTTATGAGTAATACACAAAACTAATGATACTAATGGGTTAGCTAGGAGGCTTGAAGATAGAATGAATAGACATACGAAAAAAGGATGATTATTTACAAAAGAAAACAAACATATTATACAAACAAAAAACATCAAAGACAAATACTTTGGCGGCCAGGGCACGTTCAAAAATACTACAAACCATGAATTTATTCTTCCATGTATAGGCTCAAACAAAGCTAGGTAAAAAACTGAAAAGACAAAGGTCGCTCCTAACATCAACATACGAAACAGTATTTCGATGATTTTTCACATTATTCATTATCAGATTGAAACAAAAAAATTTGGATAGGTCTCTATTATATTATGATGATTTGATGACATATATTTAAAATAGTATGCCAGTCTTTTTTAAAATTGATCAAATTTTCCACATTGGATAGCTTTTTTTCTTCATTTACCTTTTAAAACATATGAAATATACTTTATAGCACAGCAAAAGATAGCATTGTTTTATTAGTTTTACATTTAAAAAAATATACATTTTGACATATTAAAAGAACTAAATTGTTTACAATATCTAATTGTATTGTTTCCTTTAGTGTAACCTAAAAGCATAGTTTTCTTTATTCAAGTTTGGCATGTTTAGTTTATCTATACAAATTTCGTGTATTAATTTATTGCTGTGAATGCATTCCCAAAAGATATGTTCTATAGTTTCATCATTGAAGATTACAAAGGCATACATAAGGGACTGTTAATATATTTCATTTTGAACAAAAATTATTTGTACCTTAAATCCTATGGATAAGTCTTACTTTGGAAACCATTGTAAATAAGTATCTTTTGTCAATTTGAATGGTAAATTATATATATTTTTCCAGTATTCATCATTATTTGGGAGGCATAGTTTTTGTGACCATTTGAACCTGACAAACGGGCTTGCTGAAATTGAGATTAAGCGAATCATACATATATTTTTGAACCTTTTTTGGTCTTTAAGTATCCCTTTAATGTGTATTGGAATTGTTTGGCAATTTTTCTCTCTTAAAAGTTAAGGGGTTGAAGCAGACATTTTGAAAAAAATTTTGTAACTGCTTTTTTAATTCCTAAATATAAAAGATGATTGATATTTATATTGTAGATCTTGCCTAATTCTTCTGGTGTATAAAACTGGCCATTGTCTTGTAAGATATCATAAATAAAACGAATTCCCTTATCATTACCAAGATTTCCCAAAAAATACTTTTATTGCCAATAGTAATGTTCTGATTGTAAAATAAAGGTAAGTTACCAAATGTTCTTCTTTATCAAATTTATGATGCTCAATAAACAATGAAAATGCATTTAAAGTGGTGTTTCCAGAATTCAATTTTTAATAGATTTTGACATTTTCTCGACATAATGCTTTTCCACACGACTAAATTTTTTGTACATCAATACCCTGTTTTAAAATACTTATCCAACAACCAATCACTTTTGAAATAATTCTTCTTATCCATGTAAGCTTTAATGCATTCATAAAAGCATTTATATTTACCATTCTTAAACCCCCTTCCATGTAATCTTTAACTAACACATTTTTATTAATTTTTTGAAGTTCCATTCCAAATAAAAGCATATAATGTATCATTAATTTGTTGTATATATTTATCCGAAGGATTCGGCAACATTATAAATAAATGGTTTAGTTGTGAGATAAGTATTTTTTTTTATTACTGTTATTTTTCCGATGGGAGTCAAAGCTCTTCTATTCCATTGTTTAAATCATTTTTTTCTATATTGGATATTTTTTCTTTAAAGTTAAGATCTACCATTTTTTCAAGATCCACATGGAATGTTATACCAAAGCATTTTGAAACTAGTTTTCGTTCCAATTGAGTTTCCATCTAGTTTTTATGCTATCACTGCTGTACTTTTTAATGCCTATCCAAACAAACCTTTGTCTTCTCAAAAGTTCAACCCTGAGCCCCGAGATCTGAGCAAAAACTGTTAAAAATCAAGAGTGGCATTTAAAGATTTGCTGTTCCATCTAACATTACAGTGGTATCATCAGCAACTGTGACAGTAAATGTTCAGTCTGTTTAATACGTATTCCTTTAATATTTTCTACGGATTTCAACTTAAGGGAAAGAAAAACTTCTGCACACAATATAAATATATAACATGAAAGAGGGGGTCGCCTTGACGACAAGCCCTCGCTGTACATTGATAAATTTGGATAAGAATCCACATTGACAAACGGCTGATGTTGCATTTTTATAAAAGATATTAAACCATTTTTTTAATTGATGCACCAAAAAAATTGAAAAAAAGATAAGGTATTCTGTACAAAATCCCAAGATAGCGAATCGAAATGCTTTTTCAAAGTCAATCAAAAGAAGTAATCCAGGAATATCATTTTCTTCTGTATAATTCATAATATCATAATCAGTCTAACATTTTCTCCGATATATCTTCCTTTTTATAAAACCCGTTTGATCTTGCTAATAAGTTTATTTAAAAATATTTTAATTCTGTTTGCAATGCATCCAGAATCCAATCTTATATATATAGTATTTAACAAAGTTATTGCCTCCAATTCTTAAGAAAAAGTTTAGATTTATTCTCCTTAGGTAAACATGTAATTATTCCTTGTGTTTGAGTAATGGATAACTGGTTGACATTATATGCTTCATTTAGAGCTCTTACAATAAAATGTCCCATTTTTTTTCCAGAATACTTTATAAAAAAATCGGCTCCAAAGCCAGATGAGCCGGGGGCTTTTGTTGTTTGACATGTTTTTTTAAAAACAAATGATGCCTCATGGATAAGTTAATTTCACCTTCTAAGTTTTTAGCTTTCTGTATCTGTTGAGTTCATTTATAATTAATATTATATGTAAAAATCATTAAAATTAATTATTTCATTAGATTCTCTTTTTTTGAACAGAGCTTCATAATATCTTTCAGTTTCTTTTAAAATGTCTTTTCCTGATTTATCAATTAAAAATTCCATTTTCATTTTGTAACTCTATAAAATGTTTTTGAAATGTAATTATATTTTTCTAAATTGCAAAAATATGTAGTAGGTTTTTTCACCTTCAAGGGACAATTTAGCCCTTGAATCTTATAAGATATCCCTGAAGTCGTTCATTATTTATCTGAGATAATTCATCTCTTAGTAGAGGCAGTCTATCAACATTTTGATTCTGGATAAATTGGCTTTCAATAGAACTTAAATTTCATTTAATATTTGACTTTCCTGTTGTTTTTTCTTTGCTTATTTATGTTATGAACTATAAGATATTGACTTTTCCCTCTAATTTCTTAAAATTTTAACGTTTCTAAGAAAGCTGGTCATTTATTGTAAACTGTATTTCATTATCTGGAATCTATTCTTTATATCTGTCAAATATTATAAACCCGGTTAGAGTGCATATTGATCTTTATCTTATCTATCACCTCAAATTTATTTTTTCAAGATAATTTTAAGATCTTTTTAAAAAGAAGAATTATTATGTTCCAAAGACCTTTACCATGTTTAAAGTCATCACAAATTTCAATTTCAGTGTTATGATAGAAGTGATCTGAATTGGAAACTTGCGTCAATACTAATGTTGCTCTACCAAACTGTTGCATAGCTTCAGAGATTTAAAAAAATAATCTAATCTTGTCTGTTGAATTGGCCGTTGTTCGTCGCCAGGTGTTATCGCCGTTTACTTGGAAAGAGTTTTCTAAAAATATCAACCAGACAGTGCTCATGCATATACTTTATCATTGTATTTCCTTGCATTTTATTATTTAACCTTTTATAATTGTAATAGTCAAGTTGCGGATCAATGACCAAGTTATAGTCCCACATATTATACAATATTCATTACTAATTTTTCTTACGTTAATTAAAAAACTTCTTCATAAAATTGCGGTTGATCAGAATTTGGACCATAAATGCTTACAAGTGTTAGGTTTTTTATCATAAATGGTCATATCTAAAATAATGTAGTTTCCATTCTTATCAATAATTGTGTTCTTAATTTTGTATTCAATATTTTTTCCAAATAAAATAGCTACACCTCTGGAATTGGATGTTCCATAGCTAAAGTAACATTCACAGTTCCATTCAGCGTATATAGATTTTTTGCATGTCTAAAGTGAAGTGAGTGTCTTGCAAACAGTAAATATCAGATTTATTTTCTTTTAGAAACGAAATACTTCTTTCCGCTTTTTTATACCATTTAACCTCTACAGTTTAGAGACAATATTTTAAGACCTCCCATAAAACCACGTTAAAAGGGCACCACTGTAAGTTTCAATTATCACAAAAAATGTTTGTAAAATATAGTAGTACATGTAAAATACACATTCGTTTTGATTGCCCTGGCCAGGCATGTACAAGAAAACAAACAACACAAGGACGTAAAAAAAATGTAACATTAGCATTTACAAAACAAATATTCCATCTTTCCTGGAATTCAAAAAATAGGAACCATATAAGGAGATATTAAATGCAAAACAGTTATTTTTTTCATCAAAATGAGACAATATGTATTGCATACTTTGAAAAGTGATAAAACCTACTGAGTGATAATTTTATTGTTTACAGTTGACCACTATATATGCAACTATTTCTCCTTCCGAAGCACCAAAAAACGAAAGACGAAAACGTTTAGGAAGACTATATAAAGCAATTATTCTATAACTAACAAACTGTGCAATACGGGCCAAAACATTAATGACAGCTATCAATATAAACACCAAATGTCACCTCAGAAACGAAAAAAAGTGATTTTTGATGCGGTATATTAAATTCATGTAATACTCAGTAGAATTTATAATCTTAATATATCTTTGATACATTCACTATTTTAATATTAATTCTGACACAGTAGCTCAGTATCAAATATTACTTTAACCAATGACAAAAAAAAAAAAACACACAAAAGAACACACAAAAGAACACTCAAAAAGGAAAACAACAACAACAACAACAAACGAACAAAAATATGCAAAGTTCTTACAAGACTTCCATGTACATAATTACACAACGGGATAACCTGAATTTTATTTCTGCCATTCAAAGTTCATTGTTATTTTTACTATTTTCATTATTTTTTTTTTATTGTTTTTAAAGTTGACGAGATGAAATAAAATTACATCTTACACAACAAACAAACAAATTTTCTTTTTATTTTATGCTTAAAAACAAGTTAAAACGAAATTTCTATAATATCAACGTTAATATTAAAATCTGTTTTCCCCATTGAGAGCCCCATTTAGTCGGACTTTCTCATTAAAAACAAGAAGTCTTGAGCTAAAAAATAAGTCCGACAATCAACGTTAAATGACGGTGATATTATTCATTTTATTAAAAAAAATATGAATGATCGCTTGTTTTAATAATAAAGACAAACAATTCTTGTAGGAGAAAAAGTCCAACCATCCATCCATATTTCTGTTACTTACTGCAAATTTATATTAGACCTGGCTTTGTTAAATGTAAGCGGCAGCCATTTTTTAAAGTTGTGTATTTCACGGGAGGAAAATAATTGTGTTTGAGTCAGAAGGATATCATTTGGATTTGTTAGTCATGCACCTTTTTAAAAGAAAGAAAACTTATTTGCGGATTGTAACAGACAAAAAATAAGTGTTAACAGATGTGAAAACATCCAAAAAAGCAGGTAGGAAAATGGAAAACTTGGAAGCTGGCTCAGGAACCCTGGGTTGTTTTGCTTATTCTTCGAGCTGATAGCTGCCATTGCTTTTCATTTTTTTCATAAAGCATACTGCAGTTATTGCTCGTAGGATACTTAAATATGCCCAAATGTCATCAAGAGCAGTTTTACATGTGGAAGGAATGTATTTTTCAGACTGTAAAAATGAAACAAAAAAATTATTTAGAGACGAAATTTGGTATTTGGAATTTGAATGAAAAGAAGTTAGTTTTCTTCTTTTTATTACTTTTGACATTTAAGTTATTTATTAATTTCAGCTTTGCTTTTTCTTTAAACAGCCTGCCAATGTCAGAATTGTCAGCAAAAATAAAATTGAGGTACCACATGGTGAAAATCTTAAAAAAGTAGTTTCGTCATTAAAAAGTGTGAAATTATATTTTGATAATTTTCACTGTGAAATTATCAAATATAATTTTCACGGATAAATCAGTAATCCACTGAAAAGCATAAAATAAAAGCATCTAAAATGCTCTAAAGCAAATATCTACAAACGTAATGGAATTCATGTTTGTCCTTTCAAAAGAATGACAAACTTATTTGTTTCTGAGGCATAATGTGCCTTGTATATATTTATATTTTGATATTAGCATGATATATCTGTTGCAGAGATTCAAGAACTCCACAACTTTGTAGATTCGCTGGGTATGAAAGATAATGCAGACATACCTAGCACTGTTGAGGAGGTGTTACGTGGTGCTGTGACCATGTTTGAAGTATCACCTTTCTTCAAAATATCAACAACTCCAGCATTTAATGAAAATGGAGACTACGTTACTGCCTTGAAGGTATGTAATAGAATGTTAAATATATTGTGTTACGATGTCAGTTTAAACAAAATATTTCAATCCTGAGGAATTTAACCGTCTGAAATGCTCTGCATTTGACCTTATCGATAATTATATAATTTAAAGTACAGCGATTAGCTATTGATATTAAAAAATTACCATTAAATATAAAGTATTGTAATTCATAAACATAAATCAATTCTGAACATTAACCCATGTTTTTAATACTAACAGCTCCACCGAGGTTCAAAGGACTTAAACATAAAATCAAAAATCTGACATAGAACCAACTGGTAGCTTAAGGCCTTAAGCGTACACGACATGACGTGTCAATGCCGCATCAGAAGAAAGAAAAATGTTAAAAAGGCGGCTTATAAACAGAACTAACCAATCGGGGACTACTGATAAAATGTAAAAAAATATAATAAAAATACCGGTATTCTCAAAATTAAATTGAAAAAAATAAAACATTGTTTAGTGCATTCCCAGTCTATTGAGTAAAAAGGGACTCGTCAGATCTAAATGAGTGAGACTAAAAAAAGGATTGGAGCACCACACTAAATACCGTATTCCGGTATATACCGGACAAGGCGCTTGAATGATAAAATGCTAAAATCTTGTCTTTTTACCCAACGGAATGAACTTTAACAGGTCTAATTCATCTTTTCACACCGAGTTAAGTAAGATAATGAAGGAAAAATGTAAAAATCGGCGAAAAAAAACGATATTTGTCTATTTTTAGCTCACCTGAGCAATGCTCAGGGTGAGCTATTGTGATCGCCCTGTGTCCGTCGTCCGTCGTCGTGCGTCGTGCGTCGTGCGTCGTGCGTCGTGCGTCGTCAACTTTTCACATAAACAACATCTCCTCTGAAACCAATGACTGCACATCAACCAAACTTTGCAGAAATGATCCTTGGGTGGTCCCCTTTCAAAGTTGTTCAAATGGTTCCGGTCTGTTGCATATGTAGGTCACAGGGCCAGAAAAGGATTTCAAAAAACACAAAATTAAAAAATCTTCTTGTCTGAAAGTACATGGGCCAGAGCTTTGATTTTTGGTATATGGTATCATCTATGGGTCCTCTACCAAAGTTGTTCAAATTTTGTCCCTAGTGTCAAAATTGGCCCCGCCCCGGGGGGTCATAGGTTTTTCCTTATATGTCTATAGGTAAATCTAAAAAAATCTTCTTCTCTTCTCTGATTTGGCAAAGGCTACAGATTAGATATTTGGCATGAAACATTGTGTAGTAGACCTCTATCAAGATTGTTCAAATAATGGCCCTAGGGTCAAAATTGGCCCCGCCCTGGGGGGTCATTGATTTTCATTACATACATATAGTGAAAACTTGAAAAATCTTCTGGTCTGAAAGTAAATGGCCTAGAGCTTTGATTTTTGGTATATGGTATCATCTATGGGTCCTCTACCAAAGTTGTTCAAATTTTGTCCCTAGTGTCAAAATTGGCTCCGCCCGGGGGTCATAGGTTTTTCCTTATATGTATATAGTAAAATCTAAAAAATCTTCTTCTCTGATTTGGCAAAGGCTACAGATTAGATATTTGGCATGAAACATTGTGTAGTAGACCTCTATCAAGATTGTTGAAATAATGGCCCTAGGGTCAAAATTGGTCCCGCCCCGGGGGTTCATTGATTTTTATTACATACATATAGTGAAAACTTGAAAAATCTTCTGGTCTGAAAGTAAATGGCCTAGAGCTTTGATATTTGGTCTATGGTATCATCTGAAGGTCCAATACCAAAGTTGTACAATTTTGTCCCTAGTGTCAAAATTGGCCCACCCCGGGGGGTCATAGGTTTCTAAATATGTATATAGTAAAACATAAAAAATCTTCTTCTCTGAATTGGCAAAGGCTACAGGTAAGATATTTGGCATGAAACATTGTGTGGTAGACCTTTACCAAAATTGTTCAAATAATGGCCCTCGGGTCAAAATTGGCCCCGCCCTCGGGGGTCATTGATTTTCATTATATACATATAGTGAAAACTTGAAAAATCTTATGGTCTGAAAGTAAATGGCCTAGAGCTTTGATATTTGGTCTATGGTATCATCTATAGATCCAAAACCAAAGTTGTTCAAATTTTGTTCCTAGAATTAAAATCGGCCCCGCCCTGGGGGTCATTGATTTTCCTTATATGTATATAGTAAAAACTTAAAAAATCTTCTTTTAAAGAACCCAAAGAGCTAGAGCTAAGATATTTAGCATAAAACATCTTCTAATGGGTGTCTACCAAGTTTGTTCAAATAAAAGCCCTGGGGTCAAAATTGGCCCCGCCCCAGGGGGTCATTGATTTTCCCTATATGCATATAGTAAAACTAAAAAAATTTTCTTTGAAAGAACCCAAAGAGCTAGAGCTAAGATATTTAGCATGAAACATGTTCTAATGGATGTCTACCATGTTCGTTCAAATAAGAGCCCTGGGGTCAAAATTGGCCCCGCCCCGGGGGTCATTCATTAGCTCGACTTTTTTTTTAGATATATACATATTATATATATACATACATATATATATATATACATATTATGTATATATATATATATATATACATATTATATATATATATATATATTATATATATATATCTTATATATATATATGTATGTATATATATATATGTAAGGAACCAATATTATGTATGTATATATATATTATATATATATATATATATATATATATATATATATATATATATATATATATATATATATATATATATATATAAATATGTATATATATATATATATATATATATATATATATATATATATATATATATATATATATATATATATATATATATATACACATACATACACACACACACACACATATATATATATATATATATATATATATATATATATATATATATATATATATATATATATATATATATAATATGTATACATATATATTTATATATATATATATATATATATATATATATATATATATATATATATATATATATATATAGACATAAAAAATCTTCTTTTAGAAAACCCAATTAGCTAGACCTTAGATGTTTAGCATGAAACATCTTCTAATGGGTGTCAACCAAGTTTGTTCAAATAAAAGCCCTGGGGTTTAAACTGGCCCCGCTCCGGGGGGCCTATATACAGGTGAGCGACTTTGGGCCATCATGGCCCTCTTGTTTTATCATGATTTCTGCAAGCGTCTAGAGGTACTGCTCCAATCCTGTATTGAGTTAAATCCGATCTAAATTGCCCTCGGTTAGCGCATCTCAAATCCCGCAATTTACACACACATATGTAGCAAAATACGCTGTATTTAACTTTTTACTTGCAGCTGGAACCAACGTCAGAGTATGTTCAGTTAAAGATGTATAGCAATACTGTGATCAAAGGAGGGGTAAATATATATTCTGTTTCAATTACAAGCTTTATATATATAGAGAGATGTTCAAGAGAAGATAGAAACGAAACAAAATTTACGTCTTGGAAGTAATGTGTCATGCATTGCGTTTCAAAATCTACTTCATAATGTATTATCTAGCAACGACTGTTGTCTACCGTGCAATCACGATAATTACCATCACATGATACATGAAGTTCATATACATTTCACCTTAAGAAAAGCCATTTGTAATGGGACGCCAACTTATGAACAGATACTCTTTTTTTCCAGGAATCATACATATATGTAGACAGGTTAACAACACTTCTGCAGTCATACATTACCACAATGGGATCAAGACGCAAACGTCAAAGCATCTGGTAGGTTGTATTATGTGTGATGATATGCAGGCAAACGTGAAACCTATGTGATATCGTATTTAACATTTTAATTACTGAAAATACATGTACATACATTTTGTGTTGCATACGATAAATAAATGACCTAACGTCTCGTTCTCTTTAGCATCATAAATCGACTATATATATTAATTAACTCTTAAAGTTATCAATGGAAATCCTTAGAATTATATTAAAGTTTGCACTAATCATAACCAAAATGGTACACTTTTATGAAATATTTAAAAAATTGAATTACATGGCATATCCATTTAGCGATTTTTATCTTATAAGATCACACTGTGACATGCATTTATTGCGTTATTCGGATTATGTTCTCAGAAAATAATTGAACCGCGTCAAGACAAAACCAACGTAATGCGTTTGCAACCAGCATGGATCCAGACCAGCCTGCGCATCCGCGCAGTCTGATCAGAATCCATGCTGTTCGCTTACAAACCCTATAACAAGAAGATAAACTGATAGCGAACAGCATGGATCCTGATCAGACTGCGCGGATGCGCAGACTTGTCTGGATCCATGCTAGTCGCAAACCCACTTTGTTGGTTTTGTCATGACGAGGCTCATATCTTCTATAACTTATCATTTTAAACTTCAGGAGAAAAATCTTCCAACACAGCAATAGACTACGAAGATTTATTCGAAAAGGTTCTTCGGATGTATTATATTGAGTCGAATATCTCCACGGTAAATTATTTAAAAAGTAATTATAACTGATGAATACAACACGTGACTCATATTATCACTAGCGGCTATAATTGTTTTGCTTTGCAATATAAAATCCGACCAGTTTTCACATTCGTGCAGTTTGAAAAGACTCTATGCTGATGGCTTTTCTATTTTGGCTAATATTAAAACCTCGTAGTACATAAATGGACAGTTTCAAAGCAGGATAAGTCCATATACAAATAAAATGGTGGCATGGTTAAATATATTTCCAATCTGTTGATTTAGGCAACACATATTTTACCTTCGTTTTTATCTAGCTTAAGGAATGTCGGTGGTTCTATTCAGGTGCCCGTTTGTGCCTTGGTCTTTCTACACCAGTAAAGCTGGAACGTCGCCATATGACCTAGTATTAAAAAGAAGAAAAGAACTGAATTTTTATTCTTTGATTCAGATTTTAGAAAATACAAAAACAACAATAGATCTGCAGTACACAACATTTCAATATACTTACACTAACCTTAAGACAGAATACCCTTCCTTCATGTGGGACGCTGCAATTGGAGCACTACGAGATGATATTTCTGTTCAAATAATAAACGCGGACTACTTTCACGCCTTGGACACACTTTGGAAAGATTTAAATAAAGATGACGTTAAACTGTTTGTATTCTTGAGCGTACTAGCTAAACGGGTGTTGACATATGCAAGACAACCTTTTAGGGATGTGCCTAATAACGTCGGGGACGGCGGTAACCAGACTTATACAGAAATAGACTGTGTTGAATTGTCACTAAACATTGCGCGTGAAGAGATCCACGCACTTTATATAGGCCAATATACTCAAAAAGTTCTAGCAAATCGGTTGAAACTTACTGATATAAAGAATAAAATTAATGGTGCTTTTCAAAAGCTTTTATCCTCATCTACATGGGTTAAACAGGGTTTAAACATAGCCGGCTCGACAATGGCGAAAAATATGAAAATGAATTTTTCACCTTTGAAAACAAGCGTCAGACAGACGTCTAATATCACCGGGGAGAAACAATCGTTCCTGTCTCTGGCGTTAGAGTTACATAAACAGAAATATGTGTCCGAGATGAGTAGGCTAGGGAAGAAAGTATCAGAGATATCAATGGACTGGACAAGTACACAAGTTTACTTTGATGCACATTTAAATGCAATAGGTAATGTAGTTTAGAATATCGTTTAGTTAAAAATGTAATCGCTTGATACAGTATTAAATGCTGTAAGTTCATATTATCTTGCAATTAATTATGTATGTTTGTGCCCACTTAAATGTAACTAGTTTTCAACTTAATTGCATGATGTTCACTAAATTCAATTAATTAATAATTTAATGCCATCTCAAATGCAATTTCCTGGTAATTGTGACGCTTGATGCAGTATTAAATGCAGTATTAAATACCTTGATATTGTGATGCAAAGCGCAATAATCATGACGCTTTTATGATGCCTTTTTGTTGCCAGCATTTTACAATAGTTGATATCTTATGTTAATATTTTGCGTTAACTTTGTTTGTTAGCGGCAATGTTAAATAATAAATTATTATAAATCAGAACATGCTTAGATCAATGCCACTGTACAGTACGCAACTCAAAATGTCTGCGTGTCAGTACTTTTATGGATTCGATGTAGACTTAAAAGAAACAGTCTCAGATTTTATTAATTGCGTATAATGCTTGCAGAAATTTTCGATGCGACAACATTGTGTCACAAATTTCTGCAAGTATATAGGGAAAATTACCAGAGCTACATCGGAAAAATATATACCATTTGGATCGGCAAATATTTGCTTTGAGCATGGTATATGTTTATAATTAAAATATTGTAAGGTATAACAAAAAAATTAGGAACTACCTTTCAAGACATTGGCGCGGCAATTAGCGGTAACCGAATGACAACGTAAACCAATGTCACGTGACCAACTACCCTTGTGTCATGGTACATTAAATGGTCAAACTTTTGGAGCGTGATAGAATCCATTAACAAACATATTAAAACAAAACAAATGAAGGTTTACAAATGAAAGTTTTCAAACCCTTTGCAAAAATATATAATTATTTATATGGTTATATGTAATTTAGGTCTTCCAACGGGGTTAGCAATTTATTTGAACGAGGAGAATCAACCATTTGAAGTATATAGTTATATAGGAATGCTAATGGCACAGAAATTCGTCAGAGTTTTAACAGGTAAAACAACAGTTCTTAAAACAACAGTTCTTGTAGATTATAGAAAATGATTATCACATCTGAAAATGCATGTATCCCAACTTATTTATGGTAAAGTTTTTAGCAATCAAAAAAAAGCGATTTACCACTGTTTTTTTAACAAGCATTAGATGTAACATTATTTCTCTCATGATTCGATATTAAGTAACTCAACGCATGTTCCTTTATTAAAAAAAAACAATAGTTTATTCTTTTCCATACGGACTGGAGGAAGAATAATCCAAGACGGAGATATATGTGCGTTATAAACAAGACTCAAGCCCGCGCACCTGAAGACAACACGTTCCATTTCCTGAGCAAAGCTTGCGGGGGTTTAAAATAGGTTCATACAAATAACTGAAGTATGATTATTCAGTTCCTTTTTAACCTTTTTTGAATAAATTATATGCCAACAATTATGCATCATAATTAGAGTTAGGTCCATAAATCTTTAATGGTATTGTCTCTTTCACAGGATCTTTAACTGGCGGGGTTCCACCACAATGGTGGGGAACCGATAACACACTCGCTTTTACTGATGTCCCTCAATGTTTTGGCCAGCAACTTTCCAAATTCCAGGTTTGATATTTCTATATGCTAAGAAATTTGATTTTTAAAAAAAAATATTTTAAGAACGGTTTTTGTTTGTAAGAACACAATTATATTTTAAAACGTGCTAAAATTATTTCTGATGTCTTTTTTTCTTGGTGATAAATTGAATCCTTGAAGTGTTTAATGTTTCTTAACATTGATACATGAATAATACAATTACTAGGGTACTCGAGTGTTCTCTGAGTTTTTGCATTGTATTCGGTGTTATATGTGGCGGCCGTAAAAGCTCGCCCCTCATTATCAGAACATCATCGGAATATTTAGCGCTTTTTGAAACATAAATATTTCGTAAATACAGTGCTTACACAACTCATGCTAGGTGTTTGAACATTTCACATGCAATGTGTTTACAGGTTTTTTGTCAGTTTTTTTTTTAAATCAAAGGACTGCAAGCTCTGTGGTATTTTCTGATATTTGCAATCTAAATCGTACTGTATATCTGTATGTATTTTCCTAAATAATTTTATTTTTATGTACAATAATTCATCTTGCAGGGCACCAGAGTTTGATACATACGGAATTTTGCATAACTTGAGGTGCATCAAAAAATCATTCATGCTCATTTTTTATGAAAGCCACACTTTATCCTTGCATTTCGTGGCTACTTCCTTAACAAATACACTTAAAAAACAACTTAAAAAAAGTTGCCTCGACTGGGATTTGAACCCCGGACCTCTCACACACTAAACAAGTGTGTGACCCCTGCACCACGGAGAAATTATACGAATAAGACTTAAATAAAATCAAGTTATTCTAAATTAAGAATTTCCACTGCATTTCGGGTTTGTAATCCTTATTAATTTCAAGGTATTAAAAATTGTTCTTAAAAATTGATGTAAATAATTTAGCGAAAATTTTCTCGCCCTGTGAAGAATCTATATATTCCACTACTCGACAGTCAGATTTATTTGTGTTGTATTCGGTAATCGACATCGCTAAAAAAATATTTTCATTGATTAAAATCATATTCATCCGCGTAATTAATGATTGTGCATTTATTTGCAATTCTATAAGCCAACGCTACTTTTAAACTTTGAATGCGTTGTAATTTGTTAGATACTTGTAACATAATAAAATATGTCTTTCTTTTAAATCGCTAGTTTTAAGCTGTTTTGAGAACTACTTGTTGTTAGGTTTGTCGTGAAACCGCTGTGTCACAGAGTGAATGCCAGCTTTGTATTCCCTGATCTTCGATCAGAAAATACAAAAAAGGAAATTGTCCCCATCGATGTTGAAACACCATTGATGCTACATGTCAATGAAATACCGGTATTACACGACAGAAAAGCTAACCCATAATTGTAATATGTAAATACTTAATACTATAATTACCTATTTAATGATTAAAACAAAACTTGAATAGAATACTTATATTCATTAACTATTAATAAAAAAATCGTATTTTATACTTTGTCTTTGGTGGTTGTATTGCCTTTCTGTTTGTTATTATTTCTGACATATTGTGACGTTTCAGAACATGTATTACGACATTGGAAACATCATGATTGCGAATAGTGCTTTTGAAGTCATTAAACAGGTATATAATGAAAGTATCTTCATAGAAATATTGAATTATGTGTACTTTTATTACAAAAACCAGACTGTAATCGAAATTTATAGACCTTATTTTGTTAAAAGGCACATATGCCTCAGAAATACATATTTATTAAAAAATTGTTTAGGAAATGTCAAACATGCGCTTAAGAATGTTTTAATGGATTTAGGGTATATTAGATAATTAGCAGCTGAGGAAAGTAGCTCTGACTGTGCAGTAATGTGTAATAAAGGTAGCAAAATGTAATCAAAGCAGTAATTTGACTTTCATGCAAAATATTAGTTAACTAGCTATAAATATACCAATTGCCAAGAAAGCAGAAAGGGGCAAAAACAGTTCAGCTATATGGCAAAGGAGTATTTTTGTAAACCTTTCTTCCAAAAATAAAAAAAAGGTTTTCATAAACAGAGTTAATGGGCCTTTGAAAGGGCGAATATCGTTATCATCTTTTTAATATGAACTAACATTTGATTTGCGTTTAGTCAGAAGGCAAACCCTGTATATACATGTAAATCTTGATTAAGTAAGTATTGCACAATGACATCATGTACATGATACATGTGAAAAAAAACTCTGGTCTACTTAGATTTCTCATATAAATGTTTCAGAGTTTTAATTTAAGCAAGTGATTGTTTTTTGTATTCAATGTTGTATTTCTATTTTTGACTTTGATTAAGTTTTGATCTTTAGAATTTAATATTTCATGTTGTCATTAAATGAACCCCTATATGTGAACAAATCGTTTATATTTCACCACAGGTTTATCAAACTTACAGCACCAGTTTAAATAGGGATATCCCTGGAACAAACATCAAAGAAAACGTGCTGTTTGTTATCAATACTGCTCAGGTAAAGGCTATATGTGTTGGCAAAGCATTTTAATATTCATCTTAGTGCAATAACAGGTTAAATAAGCTGACATAATATTTTCCATAGCTTATTCCAATGATATATTATTAGTAATAAAGAATATGTCAGATTTTATAGTCAAAAGCACGCAGTCTTTTTTAAACGGCACGTCAAAAGTCTTAAATGTATACAGATACTATATTTTTTATTAGTGCGTAATGCACTGTGGATCGAACACAGTGCGTTTGACCAGATATTATATTTTGCGTTACAGAGCTTAGCTTCATATTCGATTATATTGTTTTCAGCTATTTTGTCGACTAAAAGACGGGACGCATACTTTTCGATTGATAAAAGAAAGGTATTTACAAATTTAATTTTTTATAGCACATCCATACTAAAATCTTGAATCAATTAAAAAAAATGGAAAATATTCTTCAGGATACTTAACTTTCGAGTCCCTCATAAAACGGTCATATATTATCTGTTAATTTGGGTTTTTATTTATGGCGGAGACCAAATAGACGGAGGTTATAAAGAAATTTTCTTATCTCGAACTCAATCCTGAAGGTATTTGTTTAGTCAGAAACCGGCAAAGAATTTGCATTGACCAATGACAATCTTGAGATCCAACATATTTCAGAAAAAAGTTTCATATCTCGAGGACAAATCTCGATTGTAATGAAGATTAATCAAAATATGTTTTTTTATTTATTTCGTCATATTTCCTTAGACACAATTACTGTTTTGCTTTAAAAATGTACGCAGATAGAAAACAAAAAATCTCTCACATTTTGATGGTATAAACTATCGTATGTTTAAATCATTTCAGAATAAACAACGTCATGACGAACAATGTAGACTTTCAGCAGATGTTTTCATGTCCGGATGTTTCGTCGATGGTCTCCAACAACACGTGCTCGTTATTCTCGTGAATGACATCAATAACAACCAAGGAATTAGTTTTTATATTTATTCATTTTATATATAGCAGAAATAAAAACAATATAAACAAACAGTTTTGTCGTAATTATATAGAGAAAGGTTACACTATTTCCCGTTTTGTCATGTACCTGTATATTAATCTACATGTATATAAATCGAAAATAATTTAGGTAAATCATTAAATTTTATTTCATTTTGTTATAAACGCGCTAAAATCTAAAAAAAGGGTAAAAGAAGAGCTATTTTCAAAATAGCAAAACAGCGAATTAAAAATTGATGAAGGGTTTAAAATGTAAAATATAATAAGGAATTCCAACGGAATATTTCTATAACGGAATTTACCGAAGTTAATTAATAACAACAGATATTATAAGCTTTCGACAGAAAAAATGAAGTGAAGATGAAGACAACGAAACTACAAAATGTATCATTAAACAAAATGAATGAGGACTCTTCTTGAAACAGTTACGTCGTTTTTAAAATCACTTCTCAGTATAACATATCATTCAGAACACTCTGTATATATTATATTCGTACTTGACATAAATGCAGGAGGTATATATACTAGTACTGACATGTAAAAAACAATTCTAATACAAAAAGTGTAAAAACGTTTAGTAAATAAAAGATTCAAATTGTAAAAATCCAACATAAATCCAGAATTTCTGCTAAATAACAAACAGAAGCTAGTGCTAGATATTCCTTTGCAAAGAAAACTATAAGTAGCAAACCAGATAGTTTCAGACACATGCATGTTTTTGTAATTTTCTATTGACATTAAACTTAGATCTATTTTTACCATGCTAAATTTCTAAAAACTAGAAATGTGTCCATAGGACACGGATGCCCCCACACGCCACTGTTCTGTCAATCTTATGACTCTAGGTCAAATATTTTTTGGACCACATGTGCCACAAGTTGAAAACTAAAAATCAACAAAGGGCCATAATTCTGTTAAATTTGGTCGCAGCAAAAATTCCTTCCTTTACTACCATCTACACATTAAGGTTGTTTGTCCCTGGAAGTTTAAGCAAAATCTGCCATCTGGTTTAAGAGGAGTTGCGTTCACAAAATTTCTACATAGTATATAGTGAAAAAATCAACAAAAGCCATAATTCTGTTAAATTTGGTCGCAGCATAAATTCCTTCCTTTAATTCCATCTACACATTAAGGTTGTTCATCCCTGCAAGTTTAAGCAAATCTGCCATCCGGTTTAAGAGGAGTTGCGTTCACAAAATTCTACATAGTATATAGTGAATATCAACAATGGCCATAATTCTGTAAATTGGTCGCAGCATAAATTCCTTCCTTTAATTCCATCTACACATTAAGATTGTTCATCCCTGAAAGTTTAAGCAAAATCTGCCATCCGGTTTAAGAGGAGTTGCGTTCACAAAATTTCTACATAGTATATAGTGAAAAAATCAACAAAGGGCCATAATTCTGTTAAATTTGATCGCAGCAAAAATTCCTTTCTTTACTGCCATCTACACATTAAGGTTGTTCATCCCTGAAAGTTTAAGCAAAATCTGTCATCCGGTTTAAGAGGAGTTGCGTTCACAAGATTTCGGGACGTACGGACGGACGGACGGACAAGTGCAACGCTATATGCTCCCACTTTGTGGGGGCATAAAAAGAAAACAAAAAAAACCCCAAAACAACAAGTCATGCAAAGTTCTTCAGGTCAACGTAGTAAGACTACTCGGACATGCATGCCGGCTTGGGTCTGTACTTGTTGTAAAGGCTAGAAGTCAAAGATATGGTTGTTTTAGAGGCTATTTCGTTGTGGTGTCTGCTGGGAATAATCAGCACAGTCGGCATTGAACCCTAAGACGCTGGTAGTACTACTCTCACTGACGAATGCAGGGCCGATTGACACATGGACTAATCCATATTGTTACCACACCCGTTGATGATGAAAGTTAGTGATCTTTGTCGATTATCAATAACTTGCATACAATTTACAGCATACATGATGTGATGTCTCTGTGATGGCAAAACATTCACAATATCAATTACGTCTAAAGAGATTCTTGTACAATTATTATGCACTCATGATACATGCATACAACAGTTAGCATACATGACGTGTTAAAAGTTAAAATACTTCTTACATAAAAGCTTAATTATCACAGGCTAGTTATATGAGATTCATTCACATTTTGATTTAAATAAATAAGTTATCAAGCCTTGTACGGTTGCTATGCAACTGTCTCTTGATCCTGAAAATAATAAAAAAAAGACAAAATTATGAAAAGAAATAATTGATTGTCTAAAAAAATAGTTCTTCTGAATTTAGACGCTTAAATAATCGAAATTTTAATATCGGCGGCAATACCTCATTCTAGAGACAATTTTACAGAACCATTCAACATAATAAGGCCTCCGATCTTTTACAGATTTTGTTACTTGATCCGATCCTTAATTCATATAAATGAAGTTCAAACGTTTTGTTTGTTTGTTTGTTTCATTTTACGCCTTTTCCCAACAGTATTTCAGTCATATAGGCGGGTAGTTTCCTAACCATCGTTCCTGGAGAGTTACACCAGTACTAGACTACCTTCCTCCGTGCTAAACTACCAAAGCATCTCCCGGGGATCGAACCCACGCCAGAGAGGTAAGTGGATCAGAAGTCATCGACTCTAACCCCTCGACCACGGAGGCGGTTAAGTTCAAACGTAGAACCCCTTCGCTTGGTTATGAAATATATAAAAGTTGGTATCGATGTCATAACATCTTTTGGCGTCATTATTAGAAAAAAAAACAAGCAATGCATTAAAGAATTGTCTATTTTTAACAAGAATTATAAGGACATATGACACGTCTGTTTATTTACTTGGGTCATCTTAAAACATTTACGGTACTAAACAAAACAATAATCAATCTAGCATGGCATGGTGAAGCATCGGCATGTTCCGCCACCGATATTTCGCCACTTTCCGTACACAAACAAAATCACGTAAAATCATCTGGATCAACAGTTTTAATAAACCACAAAACAGAACAATTATCTAATATTTCCTTTAATTATTGGTCGACTCATTTTCTTTTATGATTGCTTTTATAATGGACTGACTTACTGTAGTTCCAGCAATGTTGCTGTATTCCGATGTTGACATATTTTGATATGTAAATTCTGTATGTTGACTTCTATCCTCAGGATTAACTGTAAACCCTGGCACGTGTTTCACTAATTGCCGATGTTGAACGAGGGCGGGACCCCAGTCACGTGATGGCAATAATAATAACTTTGTGGTCTGAAAATTAAGCAGATGTTCTTAAATTCATAAGTTATTAAGTTGTATTCAAGACCAAATTTATTTCATGCACACTTATTTCACCATAAAATCCAGCTGACTGAGTTAAATTTCATTAAATGAGTGAATGAATTAATCAAGATTAACTTGCAAAATGAATAAGGACATTGCGTAAGTAAGTCTCTTTTTAAATCAAAAAGACATATTTAATGTACACTAAGGATTATTTCACAGCATAAAACAGTTTAAATTTGGTAAAACCAGGGGTGAATTCATTACACCAATCAAAACATACCTGTAAAAATGATTGTCCTTTTTTATGTGTGAAAATTTTATACAACATCACTATTGGAACAGCGACTATTGCACAGAATGATATCAACCAACCCAAATCCTCCGACCACTGGGGGTACTTATAGTCGTTGTATATCACCGGTTCATACTCTATCCAAGAGTATAGTAAAATGAACTGAAAACAAACAAAAAAACGTAAGTTTATAGATCATGATGAATATTATGTTTTATCCATAATAGTCAAAG